CACACACACACACACACACACACACACAGTGAGTGACCTCTGACCTCCGTCCTGATGTCTCATGCAAACGTCTTCAGATGGTTTGACTGACAAATGTTTCTCCAGTGGTGAAGCAGAGACGAGGACACACTGGACGAGTGCCGAGCAGCTGAGACACAGATTCTTGAATCCAGGTGAGAAAGTGATTTCTTAAAAGATTATTTTTCTCTATTGTGGGAAACGTTTTGTTTCTTCTCGTTATTCATCCTCTGGATTCTTTCTTTCTTTAAACATGATGTGAAGCTGGTTTTCTTCACATATCACAGATGTGATGATGTTTGTTCCAGATCTAAAAGTCTCGTCACTGAGAAGATGAGTCGTGAGCTGCAGCTGCTGCTGCTGCTGCTGCTGCTGCTGCTGCTGCTGCTGCTGCAAGGTACGAGCTACAGAATGATTTCACATTAAACATTAGATAGAAATACACATAATCAATATAAACACAGTGAAGTCTTTATCTTCCGTCACCGATTGTTTCCGGTTAATATTTCTATCAAATATTGATCTAAAGTTTAATTCTAATGAAAGTATTTTTTGAATGAAAATATTTGTGCAGTTTTCATGTTTTTAAAAAGTGTGACTGAGAGTTAGAGTTTTTTTCCCAGACTCCTCTGCTGGTCCTCATGACGACGACGCTGGTGAAGAATTCATTGTAGTTTTTCCGGAGAACATCGCGTATTATCATCCGGTTCCACCCACGAACAGGATCCAGATCACGGCTCTGCGTGACACGGAGGTCGTCCTCAGAATGCACACAGTCCAAATCAGGGCAGTGAATCTGAACGCCGGACAAACTACAGAGATCTTAATTGACGACAGACTCGAGCTCCGAAAGAAAAACATCTCCAGCACGACTCTCATCATCACCAGCAGCAGGAAAATCACCGTCCAAGCCACCAGCCTGAAACTCAACAGCGTGCAGACGGCTCTGGTTATACCAACTAACAAACTGGGTAAAGAGTACCTCATCCCGCCTGTACCGCAAATCCCAGGAACCACGGACCAAGTCTCACTGGACGTAACTGAGAGAAGACCGTTCACGCTGTTTATCGTCAGCGCCCAACAAGGAACCAAGGTAACCATTGAAGGAGTCTCCACCAGAGAGGTGCGGCTTCAGCCCCAGCAGGTCGTTCAGGTCTTGGTTCAAGAAGCAGACCAACTTCGAGCTGTGAAAGCCGACCAGCCGGTGGCCGTCCTCTTCGGTCACGCCTGCGCCATCAGACACAACTGCACCTGCGGCCTCCTGCAGATCACGCTGTCGCCCACCAAAGACCAGAGGCTCAGGTTCCTCATTCCTCCCTTTCTGGCCGAGAGCGAAGCGCTTCTTCTTATATCAAGCAAAGAAGCAACCACAATCAAAGACTTCGACCCGGACTCGCCGCTGGTGGAGACAAGTGGAACCGCCATCCTCTACCGACCCGGGTTACTCCTCGCCCTGATCCCAGAGACCAACTTCGCTTCCTGCTATGTGATAAGTCGTATCCAAGGCATGCAGAACTTTGCTGTGATCGTGGTTCACACGAATTTCATTGACGGGGTTCGAATTGGAAATCTTCCTCTGGAGAATTCTGCTTGGCAGCAGCTGGGACGGACGGAGTTCGCCTCGACCGAAGTCCGTCTGCAGCTGGACAAGAACGTCATCTGGCACACGTCTCACAAAATGGCCGTCTACTTTTATGGGAAATATGGAACTGCTCTGTTTGGGAATCCTGCGCCCACCATCAGTAGAACTGCAGGTACGGACCGTCAGAGTTTCAGCTTCAACATTTAAACTTTACAAAATGGTTTCATCGTTCACACAAACACATTTAAGTTCAACTTCACACTAACTTCTCCAACCAGACCTGGAGGAAGAAAAAAGATATGAAGTTGTGATTGAGCAGCTGAAACCAAGATTGTGGCAAAGATTCCATCAGTTCGAACTAATAAAGCAAAAGTTTGATAACCGTTCCCACAGACTCTTTTTAAAATATGAGTTCTTCAATCAAATACTGAACTTTAACAACTGAAACTCATTCTCTGCCTCCAGCTCCTGATGATCACAATCACGTGACATAAGGATGGTCGTGACTGACGATTCAAAACATCCAACATGAAGTTATCATCAGCAGTTTTTGAAATGTTGTTAAAGAAAGAAAGAAAAATTACAAGTTAGACGTTTCACCTTTTCATCGAGGAGTTTAGAGCGAATCACTCTCAGTTGTCTGATGATGAATTATCCTCCGGGGGCAGCCAGGAGCTTGTGTTGTCACACGAAGGAGGAGAGGAAGCCGTGAACTAGAATCAAAACGAGTCGTTAAAGAAATGTTGAAAAAACCAAAGCAGAAACGACTTCTTCTTTAAAAGCAGATCAGGTTAAAGGTTTTCTACGTTAGAAATTTCAAAAACAAAGCAAATATAAAAAAATGTCGTTGTAAGTCGTTGGTTTCGTCTCAAATCTGAACTGATTCCAGTTTTATCGTTTCTTCTGAACGACAGATTTCAGGGGCTGCCTCTTGGATCCAGAGGTCGTACATATCGGAGAAGTGGCGGCCGGCTGGCGTGAATCCGTGAAGTACTGCAGAGACAACGGCCTGCAGCTGGTCAGCCTCTCCGACGCCCACAATGTGACGCACATCTACAAAGAAATGATCCAGGTGAACAACGGCAGCGTGCAGGAGGCGTGGATCGGCATGCGACGGAGCTCCCAGACCGGAGAGTGGTACTGGCTCAATAACGATCCCGTCAACGCCACCAACTGGGAGGAGGGGGAACCCGGGGCGGTGAACGACGGCCAGTGTGCCATCGTGAGTCTGGAGAGCGGCCAGGAGTTCGGGTGGAGTGACGAGGACTGCTGCAAGGCCGTTCGTCCCGTCTGCTACAGACGACCCGTCCTCTTCCCACTGGGATAAACCAGCAGCTGCACGTGGAGATGTCCGGTCTCTGAACCAGATGTGATCATTCACTTGTGCTTGAGTTCTACCTGCTGTGGTCAGTAGAATAACTGTGGTCATTAGAGCGCCACCTGTCTTTTGTCCTTCAATCAACACATACATGTCTTCACAGACTCTTCTTTTAAATGTTCTTCATGTTCGACTCTTGTCTCGCTCCGTGTGTCCCTCAGAGAAAAAGAAATCAACCTACAAATGTTAGACTTTTAGATTTTGGTGGTTTTATGATGTTTCACCTTCATTTATCAGAAAAAAACCTTCTTACAACTCACAGTCAGGGTTCATGACACAGCGTTGTCTTTATTCAAGCACGAGGTTTTTTAAAGCTTTCACTCTAAACCTGACGCTTGTGATTCATGTACTGAGAAGCAGCGTGAGGAGAAGAGCTGAAGCTGAGAGCAGGAAATCTGTGTGCAGGTGCATGGTTTGAGCACAAGCAGCTGTTTGAGTGAGAGCGTTAAATCAATGGTCTGGAGCCTTAAACATAATTTATCTAAGAAGAGTTTAACACGAGTCGACACAGTGAAGAAGAATCAGACGAATCTGTGACGAAATGAATTTATAACGTGTGAAACTCGACGATGTGGTAGAATATTTAAATGTTTCAATAAAGTTTGAAGTGTGACATGACTTTCTGTGTTTTTAGCAAAATGAAATAAAAGAAACGTTCTCATGTTTACTCATCCGGCTTCTGCACATGTAAATCAAACATGTAACATGTAAATCACATGTAAATCAAACATGTAACATGTAAATCACATGTAAATCAAACATGTAACATGTAAATCACATGTAAATCAAACATGTAAACATGCAACATGTTCCGTCTGCAGAGGATGTTTTTTCCAAACCTTGTTTACTTCATTTCAAATTTACACAAACCTCCAGTTGGACACCAGCTCCCCCTGCTGGTCACTGCAGTCACTAATAAAAAATAAAATCCAGTCGTTTGGAAACTGCAGTAAAACATTTTGTTGTTTTATAAAAAGCCGAGACATAATTTTCAAACTCAAACTGAAGATTCTTGCGTCTTTGTCTCTTCTGCTCTTCAGATTTAACAACATGAACATAAATCATGAATTCATCTTTGTTCTAATAATCTTAAATCATATTTAGTTTCATGTTTTACAACACGTCTCAGTTCTTTGAGAAACTTAAGGGAAATGATCTGGAAATTTAAGTAATAATGAATAATTACACATTACACAATTCAGATCTGATGAAGTTACTTCCACCAGCAGCCGATCACCTGCAGAGCGCCGCCCTGCACCAACCACACCCCCACCCCCACCAGCAGGATGACCTTTGCCCCCACCGACAGCGACAGGAGCAGCAGGAGAGGAGGCGACGCTCCGCCCACAGACAGCGGCGGCCGGGGGTTCAGGACGTACAAGGTGGCCTGATCTTTGCCCAGTGGGTTGGAGGCGCTGCAGGTGTACTGCTGGCCCGGCTCCACGTCCCGCAGCTGGCTGACGGTGTGGTAGTGAGCCGGCGTGCCCTGAGCCAGCGGGCCGACCACTGACCCCTCCAGCAGCTCGTCTGGGCCCAGCCACTGGACATCTGGCAGCGGGGAGCCCTGCACCCGGCACAGAGCCCTGTACCCGGTCTGCTCGCTGCCCTCGACTGACAGAGCCAGGATCTTTGGAGGAGCTGCACAGACAGGAAGAAACTGATGAGTAAAACAAAGTGTCGCCACCTGCAGGCAGAGTGGGCAACAGCACAGGGGCTGCAGACCCCCTGGGGACATTATGTGATCCATCAGAATCACGTAGCAATGTCAACTTTAGCAGCGTCTTCTTTAGTTTCTGGTCCTGAGGGACATTGTCTGCTGGTCACAATACGTCCACATTTCAGTTTTAAAACTCATCTCTGTTGCTATGGTTACGTCTAGTGTCTAAATCAGAGACTAAACGCTGCTGGTCTCGTTTTACTTTGAAAACTCTGGGCCTGTGCTTTAGTCTGCGTTTAAAAGAAATCGAGAACAACAAACAGTCCAACAAGGTGTCAGCAGGTGGCGGTAGCGTCTACATCAATGATCCGTCAAACACCACAGAAGAGTGAATGTTGGTAATATGGAGCAGTGATGCTAATTCAGCAGCTAACTTGTAATTAGCTTAGACTTAGCAGTGCTAACCATACGTAGAGAAACCGGTGCATAGACGTCATTGTTGTTGATTCTGACTCAGTGATGTCATCGCGTCTCTGGAGCTCTCAGGTCACGTGGACTTCGAGCTGTTAAATCTGTGACGGGAAACATTTGTGTGGACGAGAGGCTCAAACCGAGGAAAAGGTTTGTGAAGGATCTGCATCAGTGGGATCACGGCGTCTGTACGAACGTACCTTCTACTCTCAGTCTGGTTCCCATCTTGTCCTCGAAGCTGATGTGTTCTCGTCCCTGAACCTCCACCCTGCAGTAGTAGCGTCCGCTGTCCTGCAGGGTGGCACTGTTGATTCGCAGCGACAGGTCGTGCTCTCGTGGGTTCCCCTCCAGCCGGTAGCGCTGGTCCTGCTGGGGCCCTGGCTCACAGGTGGGGGGCCCGGGGTGACTGATGCAGCGGAACAAGACGGTGGCGCCCTGACCGTGGCCCAGACGCCACAGCACCTGCAGGGAGGAATGCTGGGAGTGCTGCGGGTGACTGAAGGTGCAGGGCAGCACCACCGGGTAACCGTCGATGGCTCGCACCTCCAGCTGCACGTTCATGGACCAGCCGTCTTCTCCAGAGCCAAGCGCTGGTGGGAGGGACAAGAGCTTCTTAATGTCCAGAGCAGAAGGTAGAAAGCAGGGGCTCATTTCTCAGCTGGTGGAGCTTTAACTTTACTCATAACTCAGTGTTGTGTAAGTGGGTTTTTCTCAGCAATTCAATTCAATTCAGTTTTATTTGTATAACATCAAATCCTAACATCCAYGATCTCCAGACTCTTCACAGAGAAGCTGAAGAGCTTCAGATCTTCTTCATCTACAGAAACCAACAGGTGAACCATGAGCAGCACTTTGAGTCTGTGGAGGAGAAACTCCTCATTAACAGAGAGAAACCTCAAGAACCAGACTCAGAGAGGAGACATCTGCCTCCACCGGGGGAGGAGAGAG